GGAACTCGATTGGCTACTTCGCTTCACGGCCTTCGCTGCCTCGCCGGTCCACAGATTATGGTCCAAACGCTGAGGAGGAGACTCCTCCTAGCTCTTCGTCAGCAACCTGGGACCAGAGTCGTGTGCCCTTTTCAATGCCCCGCTGGTCGGACACTCGAGACAGCACCGGCAGCTCAAAGAACTCTTCCACCTACTCTCTTGAATATTCTGACCCTTCCAAGGCGCGCAGATCTAGCATGACGAAAGAGACGTCAAGCAAGTATCGGTTCTTTGACTTTGTACCGGCCTCGTCAAGACGCAAGGCCAAAGACCGTGAAAGTACTCAACAACACTCGCGCGAAGAACTACGGAACGAGTTTTGACATAAGAGTCTCTACTAGCCTATCTACTTCTTGGTCAGGTCATATCCGACGCGTTAAACAGTCATGATCTAAATATAGAGCATGATATTTTTCCAGTGTTATTGGCTGATATTATATCAAGCCTGGCTCGCACTCTCAGCCCGCTCCTTGTTATTCCGGGAGCGTCACTACTCGTCCTGAATAATGAACGGGACATATTTGACCCCTTTAGGGAAAAGGCAGTCGAGAGAAGACTTTCTGTTGTATAACAAGGAAGGCCTCATGTGAGCAAAATCTTGCATCATCTGGTGTATATTCTACCTCATTCCGGCGATTGATCCCATGTGTTGATGATCTGACGTTCTGCCCCTTCTTGGATTTCTCTTCCTTTCTACACTGCTCATTCTCCTTGAATAGCATTTGTCATGGTGTTGATACCCTGCTTTGTAGCTGCTTTTTTGGCTGGAAAAATGTCCCGCATGGCCTTTCATCTTACACGCCGCTATGGACGGGAGGATTTTGCTGGACTTTTTCATGGTACAAAAGCAGTTCGTGTTCCTTTGTGTACATAACATTTGGCCTTTGCATAGATGAAACAACTACTATTCATCCGATAGTTCCTTCTCCGTCGCATGGCTCGACCCGCCGGTCTGTGTTGACCTAGGTAATAGATTTCGGACAACGCAGTGTATAAATTGTAGACGAGCGAAAAGGATCGATCTGTCTTTCGAGACTGAATCATGTTCAACTCCCATCGCTTAGATACGCATGTCATGGAGGTACTTGCCAAGTAAATATACACCTTAAAACACGGCCACTCAAAGAGCCTAAACTAGAATGCCAAACAAATATGCGCAACGGCTACATCGGTCCATCGCCATCTCCTGAAGTCACTCACATCCACAGACATATCTTACCGCTGGCAGTACCGCCTGCGATCCAGTTCGTGCTGCGGTGGAAGACCGCCACGGCAGGAACGGCAGTGATACCGTCGCCTCCTAACTGAGCGAGCTGGTCACCGGAGCTACTGTACACATCGACGAAACGGTTCATGTTTCCGATGCAGAAGCGCTGGATAGGGGATTGCGGGTTTGCTTGCCATTGGGGACGAAGGCTGTGAGACACCAAGTTAGTTGTTGCGTTAAAACGGCTAGAAGATGGGAGGGATTGGGAAAGCCTTACATGGTCACCCATCGTCCTGTCTGGCAATTGTGGCGGACGATAGTGTCGGGTTTCATTTCGGCGTCTGAGAGAGTGTGCCCTGGTTTCCAGGCGGCGATGCCCTTGGACCCAAAGTCGTAGATCTTGAGCGTGTCGTCGTAGGAGGATGTCGCAATCTGGCCGGCGCTGTTGAATGCGGCGTGGGAGACCGAGAGCCGGCTGACGTGCTCGCCTACCGGGACGGGTTCATCGTGGGAGAGCTTGCGTATATCCCAGAGGCGCATCGTGCGATCGAGAGAGGCGGTTGCGAAGAAGTGCGGGTGGGTTGGGAAGAGCGAGAAGCCGCCGATTTTCTTCTCGGAGAGCTGCCAGGTGGCTACGGCGCTTCTGCGCGAGGCGCGGGTGTCGTAGCGGCCAAAGGCGCCGTCTAGGGTTGTCCAGTAGAGGGTGTTGGGGTCGTCGGGTGCCATGTCGATGCCGGATATGGGGATGTCGTCGGAGGTTGACTCTGGGGCGTATTTTTCGACAGATGTTGTCTTTTCCAGGTCCAGCTCGCGGATAGAGCTATCGTAGCTGGCGCTATAGAGGTGGGTTGGCTTTGAGGGGTGGACGTGCATGGAGCTGATGGTTCGTGTGTGTGGTTTGAGAGTGGTCAGGACTGGGTCGGGGTCGTCGTCCTCTGCGTCTTCGTCATCTTCCTGCTTGACGGCTGAGATTGGCTTCTCTTGCGAGGCGTCCAGAACACCGAGGTTGCCCATCTTGTCTCCGGCGAAGATCAAAGGCTTAGCCTCTGATGGGTGGAATGTCATCGTGTAGATTCTTTCGGGGGTGAGCTTGATGCCTGTGATGCGGTCATGTTAATATTTCTAGTCACAGCATGTCGCAGTTCACACGGAAGGCCAACGCACGATTAGGTTCCCACGCCTCCCACAGCCGCAACCCGCTCATTTCCTCCCTAAGCGCCTTCAGCTCCTTATCGGTCGTCTTCTTAATATCGTCATCACCAAAAGTCCGCTGATACGGCATCGCAACTCCCTTCGTCACCACATCCACCCCGATTAGACTATCGCCGCTGAGCTTCTGCCCGGACACAAGCATCTCACTGAAAGAAAACGCATCCGACTTGCGAACCCTCTTCGCCCGCTCCGCCTGCTGCGCAGCCTCGTACTGCTCGTCCGCCTTGCGTTTCGCAACCTCGCTATCCGCCGCGAGCCCTCTCAACCGCGAGGACATACGCCGCGGTACTAAGTCCTCATCTTCCTTCTTGACCTTCTTCGGCGCAGGCTTCTTCTTCGGCTTTGTTAGACCCCCTGGTGAGCTTCTCGCTGATTTTGGCGGGAAGAGCCCGGCCGACTGGGCGTCCAGGGTCAGCTTCTTGAGGAGCGCATCACGCTCGGCGATGTTCGCGAGACGCTGCTTTTCGAATTCGGAGAGCTCATTATCGGCGCCCATGATAGTGACTGTCTTGCGAGCGCCTTGAGCGTCCGCTGTATATACCAATGCCTTGACAATCGAAGGAGTGGTGTAGGCTCAGGTCAGTGTCGCAGGCCGAACCCGCGCTTCTGCCTGAGGAAACGCGTCCTGCAATGTCGCGCTGTCACGTGATATAATGGGATGTGCTGAATGAGATCGGAACAAATGATACAGTGCGTGTTATTCTTTCTTGGTTTCATTGGGAAATATAATCATGGGAAAAGAATACACGATAAATAGGTAATAACTGTCTGCGGTGTGTTTTGTATAAAAAAGCGTGGTTTTACGCAACTTACTATGCGGTCGATCTAGAGAGGTACTCCGTGTTTTCTTTTTTTTTTTGGATTTCAACTTTTTTCAACTGTCTACGTCAGAGTTTCGCAGACTTCTTGACAAGTCTCAACGCCCTAGTCTGCTCGGCCGCAGTGCACAATGCCGCTACGCATCTCGCGCACTTGCCTGGCGCAAGCAACCGTTAATTCCCCCGTCCCATTCCTCTACCAGACCCGGACACTCGCTGCGCCGCTGAGCCATGCAAAATGGAGTGCCCGACAGGGCCGATCATTTCAGTCAACATCGACTACCTTCACGACACCCGAATCAAGCCTAGATAGAGGCGAAGAGTCTGTTCATGATGGGGAGAGCTCTGAGAATGCGACCCCTCCCTTGAAATCTGATTCTCCCTCCCAGGCCCCGAGCAACGATGGCCGTCGATCCCGGAAGAGTTACCTGAAGAAGCGCGGCGCCGCGGTCTCACAATCACGGACACCACCATCCTCACGACCACCACAAAAGTCACTCAAGATGACAGAGAGCGAGAAGAGGGCGTTCGGTGGTCTGCTGGAGCAGATGGGTGTGGAGGAGAAGGATGACCCGGAGGCGGCTACAGAAGAAACAGAGAAGCCGGCACTGAGCAAAGACGAGATGTCTAAGATCTCCAATATCTTCAACTCTGTGCTGGAGGACCTTCGGAAGAAAAAGGAGGGTTCTGAAGCATCGACGGAGGGTGCCGCAAAACGCAAGTCCCGGAGGAAGGTGGATGAGCCCGCGTCGACTTCGAAGCCGGGGCCTCAGGAGCAAGCGGGTAACTCCAATCCTCCAGAATCGCGCAGTGATGTTCCCCGCTCTGCCGAGCTGGCTATTCAATTCACCGTGCAAAGGGAGTCGGCGAAGATCGAGCGCGCGCTCCGTGCAGCGATTGACGAGGGCAAAGGGGATACTGGGATCTGGGAAGTGTGCAAGGAGAGAGTATTCTCGATGCTACGATATCTTGGAGATAGCCGGGTTCCGGAAGACAGTGGCACGTCACCGACAAGCTCAGAGGGCGAGCCAACACCCCACAGCCCTCTGGAGGTTCCTGAATCCGTGTCCGTGGAAGCAGTGGTCACAGAACTCTACCCGAAGATGCTCCTCGTGGCATTCCGTCTTCTCAACTCGCATTTCCCCGGCTCGCCCTTGATCGGCCAGTTCCGCTCGACGATCAGGTCGCACGGCAGGACCTCAGCGGTGTTGGGAAGTTCGACGGGTCTATATAACGAGCTGATCTACTTCTACTGGCGCGGGTGCAGTGATCTCCCTAGTGTTGTGTCGTTACTGAAGGAAATGGAGACTACAGGGGTGGAGCCGGATGAGCGAACCTGCGGGCTGCTCAAGGCTATCGCCGATCAGCGGGAGCGGGACCTCAAAAATCATCGGAAACAGGTGCGTCGCGAGAATCAGAATCGGGGTTCGCTCCGTGATCCGTGGTGGGATATGGCGCCGAATCGCACAGCTGTGAAGGAGTTGTTTGGGGAGAGTGGGTGGCTGCCGCGACTGGAGAAGCGAGTTCAGGAGATTCGAGACCTACAGAGCTCGACGAGATTACTTGCAGATAAGCTTAATCTGTAGTGGTAAACACAGTCCTACTGTGGGAAGCAGCCGAAAGGGGGTGTATATTATACAATGCCGGGACTCTACATTAGAATATGAATACAATATCCACTCCACTTATATTCCTCATCTCAGTTCAGCCTGTACCCCTTCACACTAGATCTTCAACCCCCAACTCCTTCCCAGTCCAACAGCAGTGGAACCCATGAAGCCCAGGCACTGCTTTATACCAGTAATTTTATCACCGATATACTTATTATCCTCGATGCGACGGTCCACAAATGCCTGCGTAGCGGAGAGATCCGAACTCGAGTCGCGGGTCATGACAACCTCGGCACTGGCGTAGATGGCCGAGACGGACAGGCGTTTGGTATACCACGATGCATCGACCGAGGCGTCTCCAGCCAGATCCAAAATATCAGAGGACAGAGCATGTAGCTCAGAGAGTGACAGAGGGATATTTCCAGCGAGGGACATGAGAGCCAGGGCCTGGAGGATAGCAGTAGCGGTCAGCACCATTCAACCGTATGCAATGCAAGACACAAAGGCAGAACTTACACCCTGCCACTGATGTTTAATTTCAGCGTTCATCCGCAAGCGCTCCATAATGAGCAACTTGGTCTTCTCTTCGACAGACAACACCTTCCCCTGGGACTCGATTTTCTCAAAGAGCCCGTTCTCGACTTTGCCTCGCAAAAGGCCGCGCCGGCTCGCCAGCCAGAAAAGGACGAGATCGAACTCGCCGCGTGGGAGCAGCTGGACCGAGACATCGAGGAAGCCTGCGTCGCGGGCGCCGAGGGTCAGAGCTTCGAGTGTGAAGCCGTGCTTAGGGACATGGTTGAGCGCGGCGGAGAGGATGGTGGTCTGTGAGTTTGTGTATTCGTGGGCGGGCAGCTCGGGGTGGTATTGCGAGTGGTAGGATCTTTTAGCGATACATTGTTGCGGTCGTGAGAATTGGGTCTGTTGATGGATGAGACGGCGCGGTGAGCGTTGAGTCTGGTATAGACGGCGGGCTTGCAGGGCGATGTAGGAGGAGTGGTTGGTGCGAGAAGAGAGGGTAGTAGAGGACAAGAGGAGGGTGTTGATTTGCCTTCGGGAGCAGCGAGAAAGGGAGGCTGGCTGGGCCATTGCTACTGATTGTAGAGAGTACTGTAATTTTCGAGGAGTTTCCTCTTGTTAGTGGTCTTCTCAAAGTGCAGTTGGAAAAGTTACTAGTGGCTTGATGAATAGGATGGAACGTCGGGCCAGCCGGAGAAGGAATCTCAGTATAAGCGGTGGTCTGAGCTGAGCCAAGCTGATCTTCCTGTCATGAATGCATTCTTCACCAATTCAACAGGCAGTCCAGGTCGCAGCAATTAGGCATGAAGTTATGCTTTACCTTGACTGCTGATAATGAATCATCTTCATTCAGTCGATGGTGACTGAACGGAAGGGGTCTTATATATCGAACTTGCATTGTATAGGTACTTCATTGATATATTTCTTCCTAGGCCGTCTCAGTATATACATTGTCCAAGAGCACTACATGTTTGACCATGGTTAAAACCTCTCCATACGACAACAGATTCACATACATCTAAAAAGATAGGATGATCAGGTTTGATAATCAATCCCAGTATGCTCTAGCGTCAACTGCTCCAAATTGAACCACATTTGGTTGGCCTATATATTTGATCGATGGTTGGCTGGCTGTCACGGAGACTGAGAAAAGTAGTACCTCTCAAAAATCCAACAAAATTCCTTGACAATTTGATGAAGATAGAATTGAAAAAAAATAGTAGAGTAGTTAAAATCAATAGTATCATGTAACAGACAGCAGCACATGGGATAAACCAGTCTCGACTACTCCGTACTCCGTAGGTACTTAACCCCAGGTGCGTGGCCATTATTGAACTCATCCACTTTTTCCGCTTCCGCGTCTGCTCAGCGCTTCTCTCCACTCCTCATGTCAAAACAATCGATCCTTCTATCAAAAAGTTAAAGTCTTGACTATTGATCTTCTTCCACAGTTCAGATATCCTGAATCGCTGGTAGATACTCTGTACAACGGCAAGAGTTGCATGAACGCTACTCTGGCCCCAACAGTCCCAATCAGCGTCCTTGTCATCGGCCTGTTGTTTTCTTTTCCCCCCATTAGTATCCCCCTCGATCCCCTCTGATATTATCGTCTCTTATTACTCTAGTCCTCCCCCTACTTATCGTTCATTTGCTACTCCCTTCCCCAGGTCTGAGAGCCCATTCGCTCTTAAATCCACAGCCTGGACGGACACCAAGCAGGACAAACCAGACAGACCTTCAACTCGGGAGGATTCAGATTCCAGACCATCCCATCCCATCCCATCCGATTGTCATCGTCAACTGTCACATCGCATCTCACAGCTACCAACAATAATACAATATCATGGGTGAGTGATCATCTGCATCTTTCTTCGTTTGTTTTCTTTTGTTGTTCAAGTCCTCAGCATTATCAATCATCACCACCACAACCACAACAACACGTATCCCTCTGGTATAGGGTACCTCCATTGCATCTCCCCTCAATTTCTCCTCCATACAAGTCGTTTTTACTACCTCACAGAGCACTGTTAGCCTTGTGTTGCTCTGCTGAACAGTCACCTCCACCTTTTCCCTTCTGTCAACCCCCTGTCTTGGCCTCCTCCAAAGCTACTCTCAGTCCAATCACTATTCGAGGTCCTGCACATACCATCGGCTTGACGCTTGACATTCAGCATTCAACACAAACTATCTACTTTGTACCTTAGTTTTCCCTCCCACCCTCCGTCCCTTCTCCCCCCCCAACCCAAAAATCATCCACTACCATCGTACTACTGTACCTACTACTGTAGGAACCATCACCTTTCACACCCCCTCTTCCCATCCGTTTATCCACCCGCTTCATCCCTTCATCAGTCCATCCAATCTTTGGTCCCTCACTCCATCAGAAATTCCTTTCCCCCCAACATTCCGGGAACTCTACCGCGCTGTCAATACCAGGTAAGAGCCATCCACGGGCTACTCGTTGTCCGCGAGCGAATCATCCTGGTTGAGAGAGCGCTGCATCCCCTCGGATCCCCACGGGATTCTCCTTCTCTCCCTCCCTCCCTTACCTTTGCCCTGACACTTCCGATGATCTGACAGATATACATGCACACGCACACACAAACACTGGTTGACAAAGTGTGATTGATTTTACTTTCATCTTCACCCCGCTATTTACTCTCTCACAAACTCATCTTTCTCGTTTCCTTTGATTGTTTCGTCTCTCCTACCTTTTACCCTTTTCACCTCCTTGGCTCTTGCTTGATTGTCTTCGCTGCTCCTATTTCCGATCGCGTTGATACTGGACTTCTGGCTTACATTAAGTGCTCTTCTCCAGCCGACGTCTATCGACCATACCAAGTAAGCCATCTGTCTTTACTGTCGTGCTCCCTGTCTAGTGTACATTCTACAGTACATCACCTGCCATCAGATTGTCACTCTCAAAAGTTCTTGAACCGAAAGCATTCTTCCCTTACTCAGAAACGAGTTTCCTATGCCTTCATAGTTCCTATTTCCTGGGGCTGATGGCGCGCGGCTGATGATGCCGGGTACCCACTGTCCCTATGGGTTGCATGTAACACACTTCCGACGTCTCGTTTGCACTCAGCACCATGTTGTTTGTCTCGGAATCCCCTCTACCTTAATTGTCTCAGTTTTGTCCTTCTTCACTTCCACGATAACAAGGTTCTTTTCTGTGTGCCCTTCTCCCCGGGTCCTCAACTCTCTGAGATCTGCGCGTTGTCGCGCAGGCGGTGTCACCTGATCTCCCATTCTGCCGGTTCTCAGCGCTAGCGTTGGGGTTTCCTCGAAACTCGGGAAGGACAGTTTCAGACCCATTGTTGGAACCCGCCCCCCTTGAGACGTTGCATTCCCCGTCATTTCCTAGCCTCTCATTTCAGCCATACCCCTTTCGCTACTCGTGCTTCTTATCCATTTCTGTTCTTTTACCTTTTGCCGGGCTCGGTCCAAACTCGTCGATGCCTTCCGACTCTTTTGACACTGACTACGCGCAGCGCGAGAGGTCTCGCTCGCCCCGCCGACGTTCTCGCAGTCCTCGACGAAGCCGTCGCTCGTACTCCCCACGCAGTCGCTCTCGCAGTCGTGACGATTATCGCCGCAGTGATCGCCGGTCTCGGTCTCCTATGAGTACTGCTCAAGGCGCAACTGGAGGACATTCAGGATCTGGTTACGGTGGCCGCAGCAGTTACCCTCCTTCGAGATCTTTTGAGGAGCGCTCAGTCGCCAAAGAACAAATGATGCAATCAGTACGCGAATCGTCCCAACAGGACCGCCGGGTCTATGTGGGCAACCTATCCTACGATGTCAAGTGGCATCATCTCAAGGACTTTATGAGACAGGGTGAGCAGGGTCATATCGTGTCGGCAGTGCGACGCAGCTTTTGTTGGATGAAAACTTGTGGCTGACTTTGGGGGGAATGATTTTCCGCATCGTTCATACAGCTGGAGAAGTTATCTTTGCCGACGTCTTACTACTTCCCAACGGAATGTCGAAGGTGGGCACCAATGCGTAGCGTGGCTGGCTTTTTCTTTTTCTTCTTTTCTTTTTACTTCTGGATTTCCTTGGTTTCTTGCATGGACGATTTGGGTTGACGGGCTGGGCCTGGCCGTCCGGACATTGTAGGGATGCGGGTGAGTGTTTCCTTTTCTGATCGCCTCTTGAGCTCCGCGCTAACAATATGTTGCAGGATTGTGGAATACGCTACAAGGGAGCAAGCGCAGAATGCAGTCAACACGCTTAGCAACCAGAACCTCATGGGTCGTCTTGTCTACGTTCGCGAGGTACGTCCGCGGCCCGAGGTGTGCCCGTGTCTCTCCCATTGTGCACGCTAACAAAATTTGACTAGGACCGTGAGCCCGAACCACGCTTCACTGGTGGACCTCCCCGAGGAGACTTTGGGGGTCCTGGTCGAGGTGGCTTCGGAGGCTACGGTGGCCCCCCCGGTGGTGCTCCTGGCGGTGGTGGAAGACAACTCTATGTGTCTAACGTTTGTTGCCCCTACTCGAATCATATAATGCTCGGTCATAGACCCGGTTATAAATATTGACAACCTTGAATTAGCTCCCCTTCAATGTCGGTTGGCAGGACCTGAAGGATCTGTTCCGCCAAGCTGGTAAGTGCAAAACCGTTCCGCGGCAGCCTTCTATCGGCGATATGGCATATCCATATTAACGTTTGGATGTCGCGACAGCCCAGCAAGGTGCTGTGATCCGTGCCGACGTTCACACCGACGCAACTGGCCGTCCCAAGGGCTCCGGCATTGTCGCTTTCGAATCTCCCGAGGATGCGCGCAACGCTATTCAACAGTTCAACGGCTACGACTGGCAGGGACGGACATTAGAGGTCCGTGAGGACCGCTTTGCCGGTTCCGGACCCGGCTTCGGCGGCCGTGGTGGCTATGGTGGCTTCGGCCGGGGTGGCTTTGGCGGTCGTGGTGGTTTTGCCGGCCGTGGTGGATTTGGCGGCGGCGGCTTCAGGGGTGGATACGGCGGAGGCGGTGGTTTTGGAGGCCCCCAGAACTTCGAGCCCGCCGCGGCGGCTCCTCCCAACCCATTCACCGACTTTGCAACCTCTGGAGGAGAAAAGAGTCCCATCATCTACGTGCGCAATGTGAGTTTGGCCTTTTGACCCACACGACTGGTCATCTCCGCCGTCGAGGAGCTTGTGCTAACGATCCTGATCACCAGCTGCCATGGTCTACTTGCAATGATGATCTGGTGGATCTTTTCTCCACCATCGGCAAGGTTGAACGTGCTGAAATTCAGTACGAGCCCAACGGTCGCTCTCGTGGCACAGGTGTAGTCCAGTTCGATAACGCGGAGACTGCGGAGACTGCGATCGGTATGTTACCGTTGGAAAATATCATTGACCGCACACAGACTAACCCCTCGACAGCCAAATTCACTGGTTATCAGTATGGTGGTCGTCCTCTCGGTATCACGTTTGTCAAGTACATGAATGCCGACCAGGGCCAAGGCGAACCCATGGAAGGCGCAGAACCCACTACCGGTATCACGCAGGATCAGATCATGTAAATTGCGGGTATTATTTCCTGGGTAAACTAGTTTACCAGAACTTGCGCTGTATTACTCATAAACACCAGGAATTGATGACATACTGACCTGCATTTCATGATTTGACTATTTTTCCAAGTTTCTTTCTACTGTTACACCTCCCTATGCTGTTTGTGTATTTGATTATTGTTGAATGGCAGAGCTACCACTATTGTAGCACGCGCAGTTTACGTGCCTACCTCGTCACATTTCAAAACATCTTCGATTATCACAATAGGCAGTGACACTTTGTTTCTCAAGGACATGGAGAGTCTTCTTCCTCAAAATAGAAATGAACTGTCCCAGGAGCGCACATCACGTTGTCTTTTTCCTTCAACAACACGATGCTGCAAGAAGTAGCGCCGGGATGGTACTAGCCATCTGGTTTCCCTCATCCGCAGTTCGTGAGGCTTTGCGTTTATGTTGAAGCAACCTTCTTTTCTGCCCCAGGCAGTAATCTCTCTCCCACTGACCGTGAACACCCTGCGTCACCTTCTGCAAGTTCTGCGACTGACACCTATAGGGGAAATTCAGTCATAGTGCTTCTTTCTCCGTCGGATCCTTTGATAAAGCTCACCAGTATTTTTCATTATGTGAAAACCATGCTCTGGTGAGACGACACTGTTCAAGCCAAGCACGGTCTGCAGGCCATTCACAGCTTCCCAGATTCCGAACCACCCAGAAAACAGCCTGATACTTGTCTTCAGACAAATCGTATTTTGTAATCAAAGTCGGACACATGGGACAGGCTTTTGAGACCACCTTCCCGGGGACAAGAGGCAGGATATCCTGATGAGGTTTTGAAGAAGTCAAAGCCTGGTACATTTGAAGAAGATCATCTGTGGCTTGTTCCCTGGGGATGAGAGGTAGGAGATCCTGGTGAGGACAAGCAAAGGTAGGCTCAGCTGTGAGATGAGCATCGGAGAAAGAGAAGCTTATAGTGTGCCGAGCTGCTACACATAAGTGGCCAGTTGGTTCCTTGATGAATAAAACCAGAGCAACTCGCACAATGTAGCCAGTCCTAGTACTAAATACACAGCCGTGGCTGAGGCTGGGTTGTCCTCTATCGTCGAAGTCATACTCAAATGGGCCATATTTGGTTTTGGCTGGCTTTGCGGGTGATTTGAGGATCTTAACAAGCTGTCTCGACCTCGAATCGTCAGAGAAATACAGGGATATAGGTCAGCTATACCAGCATAGTATGCGCAGGATCTCTCCAGAGCTGCTTGTCTCAGTAGTGAATATCTTGTGAATTCTTTCTGTGGATGGAGTTTCAGATACTGTGTACAGTAGGTCCAGCAGCAATTCTTGAGTCGAAGGAGTTAGTTTCGGGGCACATCCTTACTGTTCAAGCATAGTGTTGGGTTCCTAATACGCAGGAGTCGTGGGAATTCAAAGATTTTTGTGCTTCGCTATCATCCCGAATAGGCCGAAGAGCTCTTTACAGCTGAGAGATAGACAGACTTGATCGACTAGTGAGAGGTGTTGGTAGATCTTCTGTAAGATGCGCTCATCTAGACAGAGTATGCTGGAGTATTTTGGGACTTTCTTCCAAGAGATATGAAATAGCCTGATGAGTATCTTTCGACATCGCGACATCTTTCGAGTCTTCAACACGAGAGATGATGAACGTGAGGCAGGAGACAGGGTTTTGCGAAGTAAAAACGAGTAGACCGAGAGAGGCAATCTGGTCTACCTATGGATATTTTGTAGTATCGAGAACGAAAAGACTCCAGGGCTGCCGTCTGCGTTTAAGAATCGTGACTTCGTGACGTACTGATTGCAAGTCCTGATGCCTCTTTTCTCTGGTAAACACACAAAATGATGCTTAGTTCCTTAGATCAATCAAACATGGATGTTGTTTAGACCTGCACCCTGTCTTTCCTCCTTCTAGGGCCCAAAATCCACCCGAATGGAATGATATGTGGACATCACTCAAGAAATACCATAATGTCCACTTTCCGTGCCGCAACAAGGACCTTCAGAGGATCTTCCCCTAAGTAATCGCAGTGCCTATATCTATTACCTTCAAACTAAGCCCAAGATTTAGAAAAGGCATTCCTGATCCATCGCCTCTTGATACAGTTAATATTGTTCTTGATTAAAACAGCATGTCCTTTTTGGATGATGCCTTTCTGCAGTTGCTGACGGCGTCCGTAGTACTCGGGGCTAGGCTTTTTATTCCCTCTATGTGGTAGAAGAGTCTTACACCATGTAGTTTCCCCAGTAGTGAAGACGGCCGAAGAATTCCATCATCAGCAAAGAGACAATCAGTTCTCGAAGAAAATTAGGTGATATGATATTTGGTAAGGAATATGAATGGCCAAAAAAATGAATGATCGATGCAGGGTTCGACTGCGATTTTATTGTAAAGCAGGTGCCGTAACCACTGGGCGAATCGATCCATTTGATTGAGGTTGTGGCAATATCTGAGTTAGTTGACATTTGGAAGCTAGTATGCCACGGCCATGATAAAGCCTGATATCGGAGGCATAGTCGTTGTATTGTGTATAAGGTACTACTACTTAACCAGATCTGGTTTGTGCTCGAGAACTCTGCATGCTGCTCTTGGGCTAGCCGTTCGTAGCGTGTGGTGCGGTAGTAATCTCTGGGGACTTATCTACGGTAAGACTGAGGGTCTGATATCCATATGCTTCAGAGACGTGACGTGTATTTCAGGAAATATAAGAATATAATACAAGGAAGCGAACCATCAGAGTCAATGACGCATGGCATAGGAAATGACAAAGGAAACAACAAAGGAAATGCATCGCACTGCATGGGGATTCAGAGTCAAATCAAGCGCGCACGCCCGAGCAGACAAGCAATCCAGATCCCCAGCTCCACAGCCGTATCCAACCCATCCATTCATTCGGAAAAAGAAAACGCCAAGCACCCCAATTGTAAAGTATACCAGTTCACACCGTCGGCCTTGGTGAGATTGTCACCAAAGGAAAACCGAGGAGACTTTCAGCTAGTGACGCTGGTGATAACCCGTTGAAGAGGTATATAACGTACAGAGAAGAAGGGGGAAAAAAAAAAAACGCAGTTGAAAATGAAGTGTTTGCGTCAATCGGATGCTTTCACGCAGGTATATGATTTGCGGGTGGGTAGTGGCCTGGAATCTGTAGCTCAAGCGCAGACACACTTGGTTTAGATCGCCTTGCATCACCTTCGGACTTCGTTATATAGGAGCCGTAGGCTCCTTCCGAAGTAACTTCAGACAACGGCGTTGCTGCAGGGCTGCTCATGTTGGATGGGGCTCGCTCATTTTTTAGGCTCTCACGGAGCTGGTGGCCGACACCATTACCTTCGATCATGGAAGTTTCATGATCCCCGTCAATCGAGGTTGGGACGGTATTGTGCGTGCGATCGGTGATGTTCGTCGTGGTCGGGGCAGTGGATCCGCTCTCGCGCCTGTTTCTCTGCCGATTCAGTGAAGGGTCGCGGGAACTCGTAGAGCCCATCCCGGCGAACAGCATGGGATGTACGTCGCTCGATCTGTCGGAACCCAGATTGTCTCTTTGGTTGCCCAGAGCGTTAACCTGTTCCTGTTGCTTCTGACGAGCGACAATGTCAGCTGGTCCCATCCAACCGGCATGATATCTTTCATTTCGCTCTGGGTTTGAGAGCCCGTAGTTCCCATCGTGTTCTCCGACCGCGTTTCGAGTTTGGCTACCATCCCCTCCCGAGATAGAACGATTCCCATCCGCAAAAGAAACTCCGTCGGGTAGGGACCCTGCAGCGGCAAACAGGTCGTGCCCGCCGGAACTCTCACCGCTGGATGGAGACAGTGGGGCTTGCAGGTGGCGATCAATCTGCACGTCACTCGGGAAACGGCCACCAGGCTCGCGAGGCGCAGACGTCGGCCGCTCCTGGTTTAACACGACCGCCTCCGCTGCATACGGTGTGCGATCGGCCTCGTCTTCATCCAGATCAATGCTGGTCCGAGCACTCGCGCCACTCACAGTGCGGACGTGTCGCCTAACGTATGCATTACGTGCTTCGCCAGTCTTTGAGATCAAGCTTTCGATGTCTTCGTACCACGCCATCATGGTCTCGTGTGATTCCGCGCGGAAAACCCACGAGTGACCACGATGCATGGGACCGGTTTGTCGCCCTTTGAGCATGAACTTGTGCGACGTCGAGTCCGGCTGCGAGTGTGATCCTAATTTTTGCTCCGGTAGGTACAGTGACATCACTGGTGTCTGCCATGCTACCCGATCGGCAGACTTGAACTCGTGTAGATGAGTTGGTGACAAGACATACCTATTATCTAATCAGAAAGTTGGCAGACATTGACAATGAGAATACTTACCAGCCGGGTGTATAGCTCTTCAGATACTTGCTCTTTCGCTCCAGCATGCCGGATCGAACTTCAGCCGCAGCCGGATGATCCTTGCCAGGGTAGGTGATGTTCTCCACGTTCCGGAGAGAAACGCGGGGATCGACGAGTTCGTCGGTATTGGCGATGAAGTGGTTCCATTCGTGATCATGAGGCATGGATATGGGTCCAGTCCGGAGCTTCTCCACGGTGTCATAGGCCTCATCGGCTTCTCGCTTGAGGATACTGGCATACGCATTGTACGCCTTTTGTATCTCACTGACGACAATCGATTCAAGTTCGCGACCGGAGTTTTCCAGGTTTAGGAATGCCTACGGCGGGTCAGTGATTGGAGCCTGTAGGAAGCTTCCGAAAGACTCACACGGTGGAGGTAATTTTCCTCCTCAATCTGCTTCTCAATCTGTCTGTCGACGCCCAAACGAATAATGAACGGGTCTCCTTTGCCTGATGTAGCAGACGGGTCGGTATCGACCAGACCTAGCGCTTCGTGCAGTTGGCGAACCGTCTTGCGCGTGTTCTCGACTTCTTTGTCGACGGAGTTCCGGAAATCACCTTGAAGGCTCTTGATTTCTTTGGTCTTCTTTTGCAGGTCGTTGCGAAGGCCCATGAGCTGGTTAACGACTTCGCTCTCCACCTCGGCAGCCTTATTCGCTTCTAGGTAGCCTTGACGGTGAAAATCGCGCAAAATGTCGGTTGCATCGGCGAGGCCACCAGATTTGAGAAATGTCGGAGGGAGCGAAGCGTTATTTACTACATTCGACGCCGACAGGTAGAGCTTAGACCGGGTTTCGTAGGACTTCTGGACTTCCTTGAAAAAGACGATGAGGTCTTTCAAGACCTTGCGCCAAGCTACTATGCATTAGGAAATTATTGATAATGGAGATAGATGCTCCGAAGGATACGTACCTTGAAAGCGTTGCGCCATGACCTCAGTCGGGTTCCCGTTCGTCGGGATCGGGACATAAAAAGCACTGTGCTGATCATCCGCGCCATCGACGCCATACTTTTCCTTATCACCCAACACCAGACTCCTCACACTGCCTGCGCGTAGGCTCCGGCGACTTCCGCTGCGACGCATACTGCCTTTCTTGCTGAGCGACGATTTCTTCTTCAAAGTAGTGGATCGTGTTGGAGTCGCTGAACGGGAATGTGACATCTGCGACGCGGAACGTTGTACACCAGAAGTTGACGGTCCATCGAGCACGACAGAACCACGCTGACTAGCCGCGTCAAACTCCTCATGAAAGCGAGGATTGTGAACGTTTGGAGGAGGGTCGACAACAGCACCGTGAGCGTAGTTGTAGCCGGAATTGCTGGCCACAAAGGAGTTGGGTCTGGAGCCGGAGCGCAGGCTGTAGCCTCGATTTAAGAGAACGGATTCGGTTGGTGGTGACAGCGGACGATATGCATCCTGCACAGGTGTATGCGCCCGAGCGGTCATTGCCATGGCTGGAAGGAGGGGTTGTTCCGCAGCGATGATGACGCTACCCAGGATAGTCGGGCGGTGCAATTCCTGTAGTGAGATAAGGGAGCTCCAATCAATGCGTTGTCGGGTTGTCCAGGAATGTTGGAAATTGAACGGGAGTCCGCAGTAATAAGGAGAACGGGAGGAGCGAAAGGAATGGTAAAAGAATCATAAAAGAATCATAAAAGGAGTCGGATCTAAGCACACGATCTGGATATGAATCAGGGTAGTCGAGTTCGGTTACCAGGCGAACGGCAGTGTCGATGGTCTGGAGCGAACTGTTTTGCGGGGGCTTGAATCAGAAACCAGACTGCCAAAGAAAAGCGCGCCCTTTTCGCGATGGCGATGATCGGCTCAGATTGGGAGCATGTAGATAGATTAGTCCTGAGATGGCTTAGGGAGTAACTAATATAGGGATTCCTTTAGATGGTTCAAGTATGAGCCCCACAGCTCTAGGGAGGAACTATCGAAGATGGGAATCTGTCCACGCAGGGGAGTTATGAGAAAGAAATTAAGGAGAGGATCTGGAAGCCGAACGGATACAAAATAGTAATTAATTAAAACCAAGAGATCTGTGATTATAATCCTGAGATCGACCAGGGAGCTTAGAAAGAAGTAGTCGAGATGATCATGAGGGGGTGATGGAACAGTTAAACTGCTGGACGGTTCCGGATGACGTCTACGCTCGACAAGGACAATGGAATGCGACGTTATGACGACCCAGAAGAGGGCTGTCGGGCTCTCACAGAATGGAATTCCCGGGCCAGTGGAAAATCGAAGAATAGAAGAGCAGAAGCATCAACAATAGTCATGAAACTTTGACTTTCTCAAGGATGTGGGCAGGGAAAAAGAGATCGCTACGGCATATCTACGGAGTATACAATTGGATTGAGGTACGGGTACAGAGTATGGAGTACTTCGACTGTTGTCTTGCTGGACAAACTACAGACCTCCTTTTTCTGAACAAGAGAAAGATATGCAATTCTAATAAGGTGAGGCATTACTGTACTATTAATAAACAATAAAATGAATATCATTTAAATGATGTTGCCTATTCCTCTCCTAATTGATAATAATTAATCCAATAATCCGGAGATAATGATGATCATGAAACAGTACACACAGCCTTGGTAGCAAAGTACCAAAGTACGAACTCCAAATGCCCCCTTTTGATGACTGAAGCGTGGCTTGTGAAAATGGCTTGGACGTCATTAAAGTGGCTGTGAACTGCTTACTTACTTTTCCAGCTGATCTGGACAGCAACGGCCACTAAAAAGCTCGGAATTATGCTGCGATACACACAGTGGGTACAAGTCATTGTTGTAATGAGCCAGAGTACTCCATACCCTCCTCTAGCGCTTGCGCAAGGTGTTCTTCACAGCTTCGATGGGTTCCCCCTTTTCAAGTGGCGACCTGTAATACGCAAGTCGTAATTTAGGAGACAAAAGCAAAAAAGAAAAAGGGTAGGGAAAAAAGGAGACGGCCCGCTGGAAGATCGGAACCTTTGCATTCCCCATCTATCCGTAGTGAACTCACCCAAACTGTCATTTCTTCGACGTCATGCACGGTTCATCGTCTGTGATGCGCATCAGTGTATACTTGCCCGGCATCTGGAGCTCTAACCTGAGTACCTCTGTTTTTGTCTACAGAGTACCACTGGCTACTACCAACCTTGAGTCTGCGCAGGCATCAACATAATCTGCTTGGATTAAATCATACCTTGGCTCGTATATATCAGGTACCAAGAACGTGCCTTGTCCGACCACTCGCAGAGGTCAATTCCCCTCTTTCGAACCATGATTCTTGATACTCAGATGATGCATGAATCATACGGAGGAGCTCTCCATGATTATTCAGTCCCGGACATGTTCGGATCAATCTGATGAACCCAATTTTGTGCACCTACGAAGATACTTCGGTTGGTAGATAGTACTGTAAAGTATGCTATTAAGAGTATGCCTGGTTTTATGATCCAGCAGGTATTATTTCGACAGCACTGCTGTCAAGCATACCAATCTCTCTCTTGCTTTCATACAGCATAAAAAGTTGTCCTAAGGAGTACATTATGTCATGCTGAGGGCAAGGGGTACATAGTTATGAATAAGGTGATATCATATTCGCCCCCCGCATGGATTATCATGCACACCTTAAGTTAATCTTGACCTGCAAGCAAGTGTCTCCTGTCTCCCATCAAGTAATTATTTTCCTTTCTGCTATCTAGTCATAATCTTCACTCTTGAAAGTTATAGTGGTATAGCATTTCATAGGCGGGCTGTATCATGATCTGTCACCATTATCACCTCTCCCACCACTGAGATGGTTTAAGTTTGTCCATAACATATGTCAAGCGCACGCCCATAAAGAATATTGTTGTTAGACGACTGACCATTCAAAGTAATTCTACTTCTGCTATTGTAACTATTGTCTCATGATCGACCGTTCGAGGTAGGTCGCTCAATGGCTGCAATAAGCTGCATCCATTGATAATCGTTGGCCAATTGGCCGAGGAGACGTAAACTGTTGCATGCCATCGTCAAATCTCTTCTTATGACGCTATCCGCTCGATGTTTGTTGACGAGAGCTTAAACTAGGAAGAAGAGCGCCCTCAACAATGATGAAGAAGGAAAGAAAGATATCATTGCGTGGAGCATGCCGGATTTGCTAGCTCAAAGGCATCCGACAGGAAACGATAATTTACACAAAAGAGACTGAAGACTGGCACAATTGGATTTGCAACGGACATCGATTCTAATCACATTATGATGCGGGTGCGGCGGATGTGGGAACCTCAATGCCGTATGTCTCCTTAAGTCTTTCTGCGCGTCTCTCTGCGTATCCGGGGCCGTAGATACCTATGGCAAATGATTTAGTAAAGCCGCCATATCTGTGATGTCCTGAGAGTTTAGATATTAACACACCTCGTCCCTCACCCAACTCGGCAAATGTCTGCTCCGCTGGAGTCCTGTACGCCTTTCTGATCTGTGTACGGCGATCAAATTCATCTAGATCGCTTTGTGCCTTTTTACCCCACAGGGTTCCGCCAGTGAACTCGAAGGCGCCCATGGCCGTTGCCAGAGCAGCCCCGTAACCCAGAAGGGCGGGGAATGTCCGAGCTAATGCCAAAAAATCAGCAATTGCCGTATGTGCGTATTTCCAGAAAATAAAACAGACCTCGAAGACCCAGAATAGCTCCGGAGAAGAAACCGCCGAGGGCTACGTTGTAGTGGTCGTCCTTCTCCCGCAGGTTGGCCGAGGCGTTCTTCACAAACTCGTAGGTACCACCCATTGCGGCTAGAGAGCAACTGTCAGAAAGATTCCGCAGACCAAATGATCTATTGGATGTGCATCCGTACCGAAAACACCGATTGTCCCGCCGCTTCGCACGAAGACACCCCAGGGTCCAACGTTCTTCCTAGTGAGGGTGTTCTGGACGGCCGACGCGAAAAGACCCACTGCACCGGTAAGCATGGTGGTCTTCATCGCCGCCGAGATCGTATCCTTCGGATGGTAGTGGTGATGCTCATCTTGCGAGGCCATGGTGGCGGCTTATGGCAGGAATTGTCTGCTGGATTGCCGTGGACAGGTCGTTCGGTCAATCGAGGATGTTGAATTTGGGATGTCCGGTTCTGCCGCTCGCGACCGCTTTCCCTAGAGTGGAGCTCCATGTGAGGTCAATGAGCGCAAATGACCGGTAAGTAGCCATTTATTTACTTTATTTTGAAACCTGCTCTCTCAGATATTGTCAGTCGCTATCACGTTTCTGATGATATTTCTCTGTACTGAAATATCTTGTGCTGATCGAAAGCGCCTTCGTCCTCAACCTTGCCGCTTGTTTTGCCTACAGAGGTGTCCCCGCTATCCTGCCTGCTATCTTGCGACAAGGGACAACTGTTCTGCAGCAGTTACGACCAGTCCTTTTGCCAAATATTTTCGCGATCCTTGATATATATTGTATGGGAACTGGGCTATTGAAAAACGTCCAAGCTTTGGGCCTGGTGTTGCAGGAAACGTGAGCTCTGAAGGGCATACCCATGTCGTCTCCATCAAGGTCCGGTATGCAACTTTCTTGAAGATACCCATCACCTTTTTGAATAATGTGCATTTTGCTAACACCCACGTTTCTGACCGTCTAGGCAAGACTGCCCCACGGCTCGTCCAAGATCTCTACGATTATGATCCCGCCAATCCTCCAGGCACAGGCCGCAACCTTCTCTCACAAGTCCCTCCAGTCTTCCCTGAAGGTCATGAAGGTTCACTCGACTTCATCTCGCCGTCAGCATGTCACCATCAGTATATGACGAAATCGAACCAGAGCTTCCTACCCCAAGCGGAGCAGAAACGGAGCACCGGAAATCCCTCCAAAGTGTCAGCGGTATGCTGGAAGTGTCGATATCATCTTCAACTTGTCGTTAGCTCGACTCCCGGCATTGGTCAATCCAGTCAAGGGTTCGCGGATCACCTGCATCATCTGGTCTATAAATCTGGAAGGCAGAAAGGAGGCGCTTCGCCAGCGGAGATATCGCCTAAGGGTCAGACTGTGGAAACATTTCAATATGAGTGTTCATATCTCACATGTCCTGTGACGGTGTCTGTGCGAATCGCATCGCCAATTCTTGCTGACGAATGGGTGCGGCTGCTGGTAGACCCTGATCTGCTGCGGCAGCGGGCAGACGAGGCTATTGCGACGCATCCTGAGCGTTTGGAAGGTGTTGGTCGACCGTCGCCTATTACGGTTCTTGAGAATCTTCGCGCTTACATATCCAATGCCCTTCACAACAGTCAGCATAGCAAGTCTATATCTGCGATAAACAAAAGATTCATGACTTGTTTCGGCGTCGAAGGAAGGCCGTGCAAAGACCTGTTGGAATTCCTTGGTTTTTCCGTGAAGGTCTGTATCGATTACCTCACTCCGGGTGATAGGTGCATTTCTAATTTTTGCACAGAATGAGGGATTTTGGGAGCCTCCCAAGCCAAATCCTTGGGCGGAGTATCCTTATCAGGATCAACTGAAGATATTTCTCGACGACGTTGTACATGAACTCTCCGCACTTATAGAGCAGCGACCGTTGGCAGAGAGGAAGGGTCATCAGGTGCAGAATACCGAAACCCCGGCGTTAAGTGATATCCTCTATGCAGTGGATGCTCTAGATTGTGAGTATTGACTTGCAAATTCCGGAAATGCGCTGCTAACATATTTCCAGATCCCAAAGCTCTGAGGGCGAATGAGTTCCAAATGGCGCCTGCACCGTATGGTCACAGCAATCGAGTCTCATTCGCAGAGTGGCTGACCGAATATCTAGTTACTACGAAGATTTGGGTGTCGTGGAGGACATGTCGGCATCGTCAGTTGTGGAAGCCTTCAATAGGCAAGTTTCCATTGATCCAGCAAGGTCACCGCTTTACCTACAGTGTCTCAAGTCTATTGGAAACTTGAGGGGTGGCGATGATGCACAGACCATAGAAACGGCGGTTCAATTAGCCTACGCTGAGGGTCGATACACTCACGAGGATATTGTGGATGCTTACAGGTACTTCGGACTTGATCACAATGACCCTCGCCTCACCGACGAAAGCATAATTGGGAAGTTCTACGCTTTTATGAGTTCTACTACACAGGAAAATGAATCGCGCATTCGGCTCTGGAGAATCGGGGATAGCAGAAGAAGTGAGCGTATTAAGTCCGCGGCGGAAGACAGTGAGTGATCCCCTCTCTAATTTCCGCTACATCACTGTACTAATAGTTGAACAAGGGGTCACCAATGTTGAGCAGGCCCAGGTCTTCCTCGGCGTCGATAGCACAACAAGCGACGAGTTCGTTCTGACCATGTATACCACGAAGGTAAAGGGCTAGTCGGTTTTGCAATAGGCCTGGATGCTGATTGTGTTCAGGTTAATGACAACCCGGCGACTAGGGACATTGCAAGACGTGCTGTCGAGCTCATTGCGGAAGCTCGAAAGTCGGCTGTCTTGAGGCATTTTCTCAAGACCGGCGAAATGACAACCGGGGAAATGGATGTTGCCGACGCCTATCGCTTGCTCCAGATTCCTGATCGCACCGTGGACGATGCAGCGATAATGGCAGCTTACACAATTTGTGTTGATGAAGCTCCTGGACAAGCCGAGCGATACTATCAAGCCTTGAGCATCATCGCCAAGGACAAGAATAGCTCTCTACTCAGCAGTATGATCGCTGGGCCGGGCGCCGAATCTGGCCGTGACTTGTCCGAGTGGCCCGTCGGACTGCAGAACATTGGCAATACCTGCTATCTCAATAGCTTACTACAATTTTATTTCTCCATTCGCCCGTTCCGGGAGATGGTCCTGGACTTTGAGAGTTTCAGGATGGAGCTTGATGACGAGAGTTTGAGCAAGAAACGCGTTGGTTCCCGCGAAGTCCTTAAAAAAGAGGTTGAGCGGTCTCAGACGTGTAGGTGTTGTCCAGTTGTATGTGCGATGTCCGAGCGACTGACTAATCCCTTAATTCGCAGTCCTGAGAGAACTACGGACGCTGTTTCAACACATGATCACTTCACCAAATTCCTTTGTGACTCCTCGTCCGGAGTTAGCACGTTTGACGCTAATAAGCCCGTCCAATGAAGCAGCAATTCGGCGCCGGTCGACGATATCTATGACCAGACCTGGCGGACTGGGAGAGATCAATGGCATGCCTATCATGGGTCCCCTCGGCCCGCCTCTGCCAACGGCAGATCAAACCCATAGTCCAACAGATGCCGAGTCAGAAAGGCCCAAACGTAAAACAACAAGCGACGTGGATAGCGAAGCGACCCTTGTCTCGGAGACTACCAAGCCAGATACGTCGTTGGGTCCCAGTGAGGACAAGGAAAACGAAGCGCCCCCCGCGGATGCCATGTTGACAGATATCCCAGTATCCCAAGATATTGAGAGCAATCTTTCTCCCAAAGATGAGATGCCGGCTATCACTTTCGGGCCACCGAACCAGCCCCCTCCAGTACCTCCGCGACCAACAATACAAGTTGATCCACAAAAGCAGCTTCTGGAGGAGGTAGAAATCGGTGCTCAGCAGGATGTCACCGAAGTGATCAACAATGTCCTTTTCCAGAGCCAATGCGCAATCAAGCCGATCGCATTCGCCCAGGATGGTGAACAACTTGACCAAGTGAAAGAGTAGGTTCTAATGACGCTTAGATTCGCTGAACGTACGGCGCTAACATATGATTGATAGCCTATTCTATGGACGGACCAAGTCATATATTCTCGCGGAAGCAGGAGTTCGGTCCAAGGAGGAATGGTGGTGTGATATCAAGGTCGACGTCGCGACGGGACCTCGTGATATTTATTCAGCGATCGATGGCGCATTTGATGCCCAAAAAGTCAATGTCGATGATACCGTCGTGGAGCAATTCGGTGCCATTAGCAAGCTACCTCCGGTCCTTCAGATCCAAGTGCAACGAGTACAATTTGACCCAATCAAGAAGAGCTCTTTTAAGTCCACGCATCACCTTGAACTCAAGGAAACGATCTACCTTGATCGTTATATGGACACGCAGCATCCTGAGATCATGAATCGACGACGGCAGTGCTGGGAATGGAAGAATACGCTGAAGACACTTGAAGATCGCCGTGCCGAGCTGCTACGCCAAACCGTAAGGGATGACATGTATCAGTGTTGTGTTAAAATCTAATTGATTTTAGGAAACTGACGGCCTCGACATGGCAACCCTGTTCGATAGCGCTAGAGCGGTTATTGAAGATCTGGATCAACTAAAGGCGGATCCTGAAGCTGCTGACGATGCGCTCGACATCAACCCACAGCTTCCATCTGAGCTAGCCCAACTCTCTCAGATTGCAAAATCCGAATTGAACTGTGAGCATTTCTTTGTTGTTTGAGGCGCTCGCAGCATCTTTAGCTGACCCTTTTCGTTCTAGATGTCGAACAAGAGATTAAAGACACACAAACCATGATCTCCAGCCAGTTCGTTGACTTCAAGCATCTGGCCTATCGGCTATATGCGGTCTTTGTGCACCATGGGTCTGTCGAGTTTGGTCATTATTATATCTATATTTTTGATTTCAGGAAGAATGTCTGGCGCAAGTACAACGACACTGAAGTCAACGAGGTGACCAACACGGACGAGATTTTCGAGAACCAAGAACGCCAGAACCCTCCTACCCCATACTTTCTGGTTTACGTCAACGATGGTCTCAAGGATCGCTTGGCCGATCCTGTTTGCAGGCAGATTTTTGAAGATCCTGCACCCAGTGAGACTATCCCTTCGACAGAAGCCATTGTTCATATGGAAGGGGTTGCTGCGACGACTTTGACACCTCAACAGGACCTGGACATGGAACCTCCTGCCTACGATGAGGCTCTGGCTGATACTCAAAATTCAGGTACGAAAGCTGTCCTCGATGTAAAGTGAGCACCTGTCGGTGCGACGGGTCGCGAGTCTCGTGCTCCGACATGGTCGGCGGAAAACGAGGCTGATAAGCGTGGTGTGGATTAGTAGGAACAGAGAAAATCTCTCCGACACTTTCCACGACCGCGAATCCACTTA